ATGAAATTTAACAAGGGTAAGTACAAGCAAACACACAGTTACAAAATGGGGGATACTTGGCTCAATAATACTGTGAATTAGAAGGATCTTGGAGTTACTATAAGTTACAAACTGAATATGAGATAAAACAGTGCAGTGTGACTGTGAAAAAAGAAAATTCCATTTTAGGCTCCATTGTTAACCATTTTTTGATACAGATATCATCACAGAAATAGTGTTGACAAGATGTGCCATTTGTTTCTTTTGTTGGATTCCAGATCCCAGAATTCTCAAAGAATTCCACAAGCAGAATTCTGGGGGTTCTAAACAACAGATGTCTGTAGGTGTGAGCAGCCACCTGCATGATTTTTGCTGTCTGTATAGGTTCTGATTAAAAGGGATTTGCTAATTATTAAAATTTCCCAGAGCAAAGATGATGGCAGCAATATTCCTGCCTCTAGTGATGCAACAGGGAATTGTGGGTCCCCCCAAAAAGCATCAAGAAGATTGGGTGGTTCTGCCCTTCCCAGGGCTCCAGCTATAGTGGACTGATTATTTCACAGTGTCTTTTAGTAAACTGCCGTTCAAACCTGTTTTTAAAATGCAATGTACATTTTCAGCGCTGCTTTTTCTACAACCCCCAGTTACTTCAACACTTTATATATTCATATCTTGACAAAAAAATTTGAGCTCCTAATGGGATGTTATAAACAACTTCCCATCTCAAAGAAGGAAAATCTGTTTAGAAGTCTCATTATTTTGCTGTATATACCGTCTTTCTGGTTCCTATTGCCTATGTAAAGCAGTGTGCAACAGTTTGTAAAATACAATAGTAATAATATGTACCTATCCAAATTGAAGTGAAATTTGATAAGTAGTTTATCAAAAGTTTCTAAACATGAGGGGTTTCTGTTTTGTGATAGATTACTAATTGATACCTTTTAAAGTTAGTTGACTGTAAAGCTCATATGGGCTTATATCATTGTGGTAGTCCGTCAGATAACTTGGTTTCAAATGGTTGAGAACTTTAAAAGCAAAAATTACCATCTTCGATTATGCCAAATAATAAGTGTAATTAGTACACAAAATAGGTATAATACGTTTTGAACACATAGCTGTCCACCAACATTCCTGCTGACAAATTTTGAGAGTTTGCATTGTTTTCCTAATTCAAATGCATTTAAAAGAACATATCTGTTTCTGGTGCTTCATATGCCATCCTTAGTACTCTCTTTTCAGTCTAAAGTCAAACTACTTCATTTTTCTCATCCTTATTGCAGTACTATCATTCCTTGTCATGAATTTAAATAAAAGTCCTTTGATTCATAATATCCTCTAATGATATAACAGAGTAAACCTGCAAACACCCTTCTACCTTTTTAAATGGTTGCAGTAAATAAGAAATTTTCTGCATTTTGTAGTAATAACTGCTCTTGAACCAATGTGAGAGGTCTTTGTAGATCAAAACTGATGGCTTTCGGTGAGGTTCTGTACTTAAGCTCGAAGAGTCTTCTTCCTTCTCATCATAAATGTTTTATGTAGTACCATGGATGCTCTAAATAACTGTGATTTTTTTTACTGCAATTAGTGTCGTGTACCATTAATTATTACTAGTCGTCTTCCCATAGATGAATACACAGCCATATGATCCTTTTAGTTTACGTGTTCTTTACAGTCTGCTTCACTTAAATGCCTATGAACTATACAGTTTGCCAAATAGCAGAGACAGTTTACATTCTCCTCTTCACAATCATAGGATTAAAATGTTTTTCTCTGTAAAGTTCTTTACAAATGACCGCATATTTTATTTAGCAGACAAATGCTTGCATAATGACGAGGGCTGCATCATATCTAATCCAGCAATTAAGTTAGTATGTCTTTTACAAGAAAGACATTGATATGTGTTACTATAGAACATCATAGTTCATATAGAATATCATTTTTTATTTTGTCGTGCATAGTTCTGAAAACTGTATTGTATTACACAGTTAAAAAGGTAATTGAGCATTCTGAAATTTCAGTTACTTCACTTGAAGCTTGTTGACTTTTCTTTCCCTTTTTAATAGTAAATATACTTTGTGAGCATTTATGATTCAGATTTAATTAAATCACACTAGAGTAAGCCATTGAATCAATGGGGACTTAGTTAATCACTTCCTCTGATTCCCAGAGGAATCATTCCCATTGATTCAGTAGACATACTCTGGTACTTCCCAACCTTGATTCCCCAGATGTTCTTGGACTATAATTTCCAGTAATCCTGGCCAGCACAGCTAATGATGTTTTAGTACAAGAACATCTGGAGACTCAAAGTTGGGAATCATTGCTGTAGTGAAGCGATTCTCAATGAGGGCCATATGGCATCTTGGCAGGCCCTGGAACATTTGAAGGGGGCCACAGACTGGAAACAAATAGTTTGGTCCCTCAAACTATTCGCCCTCATTCCACCAGGCCTGCCAATTTCTACTGTCTATGATTCAACAAAATATGGACGAACATAAGAAGTTTGTAATGATTCATATCATTACGGTGGCTAGAATGATATATGCACAACTATGGAAGGTGAACAAGAGCCCTGATGAAGACCAACTAATAATGAAGGTGTTGAACTATACAGAAATGGATAAGATCTCAACATTACTGAAAGCAAATGGACATTATGAGGACTATGAAGAAAGATGGTCAGAATTTTATAAATTCTTAGGTCAACATTGTAAGTTAAATTAAAGACCTGCCTTATATATTGGAAATTGAAAGATGAAAATCTAAAGATATATAATTGTGTGAAAAGATACAGAATTTTGTTTGAGTGTTCTAATCATACCTTTCTTTTGCCTTTATAGTTGAAACTTAATAAAAATTTACAGGTAAAATAAATAAGTAAATAAATAACAGTTTCAGTTAGCTGCCAAAATGGACCTGGAGGGGGAATGATTCAAAGTGATTGTTGTGGAGCATCCTATACAGTCTGTCACCAGAAGTGTGGCTTGGCACTAACAGGATGGATTAGAGAGAGTGGAAACTAGGGATATGAGCAGGATTCATATTAGTGGAAGCCTTTTAAAAAGGCAGCATTTGCAGCCGCCTTGTCTGAGCATGAGTATCTCTTCTGGGTGTGTGGGAGCACCTGACTGCTTTATAAAGTTGATAGAGCAGTGCAGTTTCTACAACAGTGTGATTTTAAAGCAACACAGGCTAAAGGGGTAAAAAGGCTCTCTTGTGATATTCTTTGACAAGTATTTATTGTAGCACAAGTTTTCATGGGCTAGAGTTCGTCAAGTGGGTTTTAGAAGTGTCATTTCCATTCTCTTCAGTGTGAAAGCATGAAAGCATGAGCTACTTGACAGTCTTTTTAATACATCTTGGATACTTTTAGATGCCTAAAGTTCCTCTCTTATACTTTCATTTGGTTACAATGGGTGTTTTCACTTCCTGTTTAAACAGTTTGTGCTGTACTGTTTTGACCTACCCTCTCAGTGGTTTCAGTTGATTTCTACAGTTGATTGTTCTTGTAGTAAGATTTATTTAGAAAGGCAATGTAGAAAAGTAATGTTACTATTTAATATTTTAAAAGTGTGTACTTAAAGGTTTCAGTTCATAAATGCTTATGCCATAATAAATACCTTAGTCCTTAAGGTATTTCAAGACTCATTATTTGAAATTTATTATTTTAAGACTCATTATTCATTGTTTTTGAATGCATATATTTAAAAACAAAACCTATAGCATTTATGAATGAGACTATGCAAAAGTAAGGATGCACATTAGGAATAATTGCATTTGGACATACAAGCCAGGATTGCTTGCTTATTGTGACTATGCAGTATGCTGGCACACACAGTTGACTTGGTCCCATGTCATGGAAGCGAATAAGGTACAGTATAGGTGTTTTTTGTGCCCTAATGTAGTTATGTCAAGTTTCTGGCCACACAACCCAAATCTCTTTGGTTGAAGTGGGCAAAGCGAAGCTTCTTATGGGTGATAAGGAGATTGTTTGTAAGTCAGCTGCTGAGTTAACAGTTCCATAGAATTTTAATACTTTTTACAAAAAACATGAATGTAATGTGATTTCCTATATTTCATATTATTACTACGAATCTCAGTCATAGCTTTTAATATATTGCAAATTTGTTATTTTGGGGCTATGTCTATTTAGACAGAGAGTTGTATATAAACAGAACATGTATTTAATAAAAAATGATAATTTCCTTTTGGTTTTAGAATTACTAGCATATTTTAGATCTGTACTTTGTTTTCTCTGAGAGATTGGAGAAATACATCTGCTGCCACTAACTGAAAATATAATTAAAGTGAAATATAATTGAAGTACATTTGAAATCATTCTAAGTATTTTTGGAACCTTGAGGGGGCGCTAACTGTGGTAGTGTAACCTGGTAGTTGTATGAAATGGGGTGACATATCTGTCTTGTCTTCAGATAAATTTTAGTAATAAAAGTTATTCAGAGGCAAAGTTGCTCAAATTGTGGAGCCTTGGATATTGTTGGACAATTATTCTTATAACACCCCCCATTGGCTACGTTGGCTGGAACAGATGGGAATTGTAGTCTGACAATGTTTGAAGAGCTACGAGTTGCTCACTCTGGAGTAGAGGAACAAAGAGTTTTGTAAACCTGAAGTTCTGGTTGCATCCTCCTGGATCAGTATCACTTTGTGTAGTCTCTTCTTGTTTTCACAGTTTCAGGATCTGCAGTGAGGTTTGGTGTTGCAGGACTTCTTAAGCAATGAACCCTGTTTCCATAGTCTGTGGATTTTTATCAACCTACTAAAATGCTTTGTAACTTCCTCTCCCTGCTCTCTTGAGCAGAATCCGGAAACTTTGGTGCCTGAGGCCACTTCTGCAATTGCAAGAGTTATGAGTTAGATGGGGGTGAGAGGAATTATCTCCATCTTGCAAATGTTCTGGATCTAGAAGAAAATAAAATCAACAGAAAATGTACTCTGCATTGTGGCATGTCACAGTAACCTGTTCCTCTCTTATTTCTCTGTCTACCTCCTTTCAGTGCTACAGTTGAAGCTCCAGCAGCGCCGAACACGTGAGGAGCTGGTTAGTCAAGGGATCATGCCTCGTAAGTATAACTTTTAAAATAAACATCTCCTTCCTCTTTGAATGCTAAGTATCTTTATTGAAAGTAGAAATAGCTTGGAAATGTCTGTTCTTGCAGGATTCATTTAGACAATATTCTCAGAATCCATCCTGTGCTATTAAAGCCATGTTTAATGTTCTAGCATAGACATAAAAATAATGGTTTTAAATGTTTGAAGTACTGGGTGCATGGTAATCTTTTGAGTATGCACCTGTCATGTATGAGCAAGAAGTGTGGTTGCGCACATGCTTAGTAAAGCCTTGACTGGAAGAATTTCAGGGTAACAAAACAGAGTTTTTTTGTACTTGCTATAGTGAGGAGTCACATCAAAACTAGTAGGCAGCAGTTATTTTATTTTATGATGATAGATATATAGCAGCTTGCTAGTTGCGGATTAAATATATGATAAATCAAGCTTAAGTAGGTAAAAGAAAAGCTTTGAATATAACACATTCCATATGTGGAAAAATATGGCAGAAATCGACTGAAAACATCATATGCATTGGCAGCAATAATATGGGCTCCATGAGACAAGCAGATAGATTATCATGTTTTCTCCACTTCCCCCATGGCTTTCACAAAGGGTGTTAATCCTGTTATGAAATTGAGTAATCATTTGCCAAGTGCTCCCATACCTTCATGTTTGTAACACAAATAATAAACTTTTCATTTATGGCTTAGAATGATTTTTTTTCAGTTAGCTGTAAATCATAGAACTTGTTACACTTCTAGTCTAGAAGGAAACAAGGCATTTTTTTAAAATAATGTGCTGAAATAAAATGAATAGTAGATAAAACATCATAAGCATTAGTTGCATATATATATGGCATGGCATAACTGGAGTCAATTCATTTTCCTTATTCCCATAGTCCTTATTTTTTAACTGTGAAACTGTTCATAGATTTAAAGAGACGATAATCAATTAATCTATAAATAAATAAATACATTTTCATAAGGATAATTTCATTTCTATTCACAATAGCAATAAATGTCCTTTTATGGGTACATTTTTGAAAAAGAAAAAAAACCAGGTTTATATTATTTATATAACTACAGTAAACTGGATGGATCAAAAGAAATGTTTCTTATAAGCCCCCAAAATTGTTACACCACAGTTTGTTTTGGTAAGTGAGTGCAGAAAAAAGTAGGTTTCAGTTAATGTGGTAGCATCAAAGAGTGTGTGCCTGCTTGTAGAATGGCATGATGGCAAATGTTTAAGGGAGCTGTAGTCTAAAACATTTGGAGGAATTGTTTAAAGTGGTACAGGGCCATGGTTTCCCATCCCAGCTATAAACCGCAGAAGCCTGTGCTGCAGGGTCAGAAGACCAAGCAGTCGTAAGATCGAATCCACGCGACGGAGTGAGCGCCCGTTGCTTGTCCCAGCTCCCGCCACCCTAGCGGTTCGAAAGCATGCAAAGGCGAGGAGATAAATAGGTACCATCTCAGTGGGAAGGTACACAGCGTTCCATGTCTAAATCACACTGGCCATGTGACCACGGAAAGATTGTCTTCGGACAAAGGCTGGCTCTATGGCTTGAAGAGCGGGATGAGCGCCGCCCCCTAGAGTCGGACACGACTGGACAAAAATTGTCAAGGGGAACCTTTACCTTTACAAGCCTTTACAAGCATGCAATGCTGTCAGGTATTAACTCAGTATCCACACTTAAGATAAGTAGCATATGCATATGAAGGGCACACCTGTGTACACACATTGTGTTGCCCTGGTGACATCATAAGTGGATCAGACAGGATTTAAGACCAATTTTACTCTTCTGCTACAATAGTTTATTTTCCAACATGGGCATTAATGGAAACTACTTAAATTGGAGATGGTGGTAGTAAAGAGAATACCATTAAGATGGAGGACTGCCCTGCCCCTCCAGATCTGACTTGCCCCACTCAGCAGATCACATATTGAAACCAGTTTATCTCATACCAGAGCAGGAGAGCGGATGGGCTGAGGCAATCCATTTCTGTTTAGTCCCACTAATTCTGTGGTGATGTATGATAGAAAATGTGTACAAAAGAATCAGTTACTTTTTTTCAGTCAAGTGGTACCATCTTCTAAATTTGGTAGTGCCAAACTTGTAATTAAAAACAGTCACTTTGAAATACAAACTAATCTTTTAGTTCTGAAAGCTGGTACTGTGCTAATATACATTTGCTTTTGTTGAAAGCTGGAAAGTAGCTTTGTTGTTCCTGGTGTACAATGTGGACTGCTCTCATAATGAAAGTGCACATCTTTTTCTCTCTCCTTAAATGTGCACTTTAAATGTAAAAATGTTCAGACATGTCTTAATCTTGCTTTTTTATACATGCCAAGCTTGATCACACTGGACATCCATTTTGTAATTTCTTTATATAAACAAAAGTAAAAAAAGAAGTTGGACCTTTAATTACCACATGACAGAATAAGAATTAAATTTTTTTTATGGTGGTCTCATGTCTTGCCTTGTTTAGTGTTATATTTGGATTTCATAGATAGTTTGGCATTTAGAGATCTGATAGTCCTTTAGTAAGGTAGTTTAATTTGGTAGTGTTTAAATTTTCAAAAACCATATGGTTCTGGTTTCTGCTTATTTGTCCGGTATCCTCCTTTCATGTTAGCGAAGCCTTTGTTACTGGAGCATTAACCTTGCTTAATAAAAACAGTTCCTGATGTATAGCTTAGTAGTTTAGATATCTGGCTGGGGAGCCAGAGGTTGGGAGTTTGATTCTCCACTGTGTGTTCTGTGAGTAGAGCCTGCCTGTGTGGCCTTGGGCAACCTTTACAATCCCCAGAAGATAGGAATGGTAAACCACTTCTGAGTATTCTCTACCAGGAAAACTGAAAAGAGTCACCATCACTCAGAGTTGACTTGATGATACATGATGATGTTGATTAAGGATAGCTATTCCAGATGTGGAATAGACTTTGGAAAAGGCCTTGATGTTGGGAAACTGTGAAGGCAAGAGGAGAAGGGGACGACAGAGGATGAAATGGTTGGACAGTGTCATCGAAGTAACCAACATGAATTTGACACAACTCCGGGAGGCAGTGGAAGACAGGAAGGCCTGGTGTGCTCTGGTTCATGGGGTCACGGAGAGTCGGACACGACTAAACAACTAAACAACGACGATTCCAGATGTATTGCTTTTTTGGTGAAACTACCCATATTCCCAAATACATAGAAGCATTGCAGTCAAAGAGCTAAAGTGGTGCTATCTTTACATGTTGGGCATTCTTCCTAGAACGGATTTCTGATCAGAGCAGTTTGTTCCAAAATAGATCTGCTTTTGAGAGTTGGGTTAAAAACAGATTTCATATATTTTCCCCCAAGTACACTTAAGCTTGGTTAAATATCCATTGAAAACAATCCATGTTATCTTAGAAGAATGCAGTCTTTGGAGTCCAGTTGTGTCCTTTTGTTACATGTTAAACCAGAGGATTTAAGAACTCTTCATGTGGCTTCGCTAACTTTCTTGGTAAGCTGATAGTGAAATATTCTTTTTTCTTGAGTAACTTGTAAAATGTGATGAGCTTTGTCAGACTTGGAGCTTGTAAACCTGCAAGTACTTTACATAAACATGGGCAGTAGATAGTTTGACATATCGTAATGCCTTGTGTCTGTCACCATCAGAATTTACTAATTTAAAAGCACTATTTCTAGAAAAGAGGTCAGTGTGTGATATCAGGCCAGGTTGTAGTTCTCTAGCAGTGTATATGCTTTGCATGCAAAATGTCTCAGTTTTTTCCAGGAAAAGATTGTATTTTTTTCCCTTACATTCTGCTGCTTGAAGCCTTATTAGAATAGCAGTCATCTCTCATATCCTTTTATCTGTTCTAAAATATAGCACAACTGAGAGAAGACCTGCTTTTTTTCCTTGACCCCCTCTGTGAAGTGCTGAATTCTTGGAAAATTACATGTCTTTCTTTTGCACTCTGGTTTGGATAGAAGAAAAAAGTGCACACTGCTCCCAAAGCCTACCACTGTTGGTAGATAGTACTATGCATGATTTCTTTCACCAGAAAGATTTCTCTTTGGCTGGTAAAGTTGTGGATGTTTGCATAAGTTTAGTGTAGTGCTTAGAATGTCAAGTAATGGCAAACAGACCTTTCAATTCTCCATTCTGCCATAAAGCTGGTGACAGCAAGATCATCATTTCTCAGTCCAGCCTTCCTCATGGACATAAGGATAAAATTGCAGGGGACAATAGTTCATTTTCTACTGAATTCCTTGCAAGAAAACTGAGATGCAGATGAAATAAAATAAAAGAGAAAACAAATTATTTTGAATAGTAAAAACATAATGCATAGATGAAACAAAAGTTATGTGGCATTACTCACCACATGAGGTTTAAATATTGAGTAAAGCTGTTACTCAGATTCTATACCATGAGAACATTTTCTTGGTATATTCACTAAGAACTTCAGATACTGCTTCCTGCACTTTGTGTGTGTTTGATTCTCTAAACTTTATAATTCAACTTCCCAGTCAATCAGAAAAAGACACATCTACAGCCTCTGATCAACTCAGTAGAAGAAGCCGCAACTGTGAGTATTAAAACTCGAGCAGGGCTGTGAATGGCAGGACTTTGGAGGTCACTAATTCATGGAATTGTCATAAATTGAAAGTGACATGACAGCATGTAGCAGCAAGAACAGACTCTCAAATAGTCCCTGGACTGAAATACGCAGCATTGTTTCTTCCATGAGAAGGAATGAAATACATTGTGTTTTTATACAAATACAGTGGCGCCTCGCTTTATGATTGCTCCATTTAACGACGAAACCACATTACGATGAACTTTTTGCGATCGCTTTTACGATCGCTTTACGATGTTTCCTATGAGGGAATTTCGCTTTGCGATGATCGGTTCCCTGCTTTGGGAGCCGACTCTTCGCAAAACGATGATTTTCGGACAGCTGATTGGCGGTTTCAAAATGGCCGCCGGGTAAACAAAATGCCCCCCCGCTCTTTTCTGGGACAGATTCCTCGCTG